AAAAAAAAAAAAAAAAAAAAAAAAAAAAAAAAAAAAAAAACAGACGTACGGACATCATCGTAAAAATAGTCAGGGAAGCTTCCTGTGACCTTCAAACGTCGAGATCTGATGAAAACTCAAATTTTGTAAAACGGGGTGAAAACAATAACTTCCCGATTTTTGAAAATCTGAGATTTTTAGCGGGAAGTTAAAAATTAATTTGATTGAAGAGAAAAATTCTTGAAACAAGAATATAATTTTGAAGAGGGTAATTGTCTTGAATTAAACGAAAAATTCTTAAATTAAGTAAAATTTCCTTAAATCAAGAAAAATTTTCTTAAATCAAGAATTTTTCTACTTAAACCAAGAATATTGAGCTCTTCAAAAATATATACTTGTTTCAAGAACATTTTTTTTTCTGTGTATAAAATAAAATATCAGTATGATCTTTTTAAAATTTTAAAAAACAACTCATACTTAACAGCTAATTCGTCGTAAATATCTCTTAAATCGCGAAAAGTTGATATTACAGATTTGTAAAGTTCGTTTTTAAAATTAAAAATTGGGGCTAAATTGAAATTTTTTGCATGACTGTGCTCTTTTAGTAAAACAACAGAGTTTTCTTGACTTATCACACCTTTTTTTTGGTTTTCAAGTGACATGTAACATCCCGGATATATAATAAATACAATAAATAACTTTTAAGGTGATTTTTCTATAATTTTAGAGAAAATTATGTATGTTTAAAAGCTGGCTTGATAATTGCAACTTAAGAAGTTGTTAAATATTGATGACTATGAATCTAATAGACACCAATTAATTTTTAAAGTAGTCAAAAAATCAATAAATAATACAGTTATCGAAAAATAAAAAAATGTACTCATATGAATATTTAAAACGTTAAAATTTACACGTGCATTTTTTAAAATTAATTATTTTTTAAAATGAATCTACTTTTTTAAGATTTACTATTTGTTCTCTATTTTCAGAATTTATATTCAAGAAATATTTTTATGTAAGAAATATTTTTAAACTCGATTAAATCGCAAATAATGATAATTTTAACATTTTCAATCAATTAAATTATGTAAAATGAGTATATCTGTTCGAAGTAAATATAGAAAAATTTCTATAGCACTAAAGTTGACAGACATTCAAAACTTTTTCATAATTTTATTATAATAAGATTGGTATGAAAAAAATTCAATAAAATAATTCCATGAGTAAAAATTAAATAAAATTATCAATGACAATATTTAGAAGCACTTGTAGTGTTGTCATTGTTATAAGAATTACAAAAATTGTCAGCTGCCAGTTAACTTCAGTATCATACATTTCTTACTTATTTTACTTACTACCAATTATATATTACTTACACATCAGTACTATTACGTCGACTGTAACAATGACCATCATCGAAAATTAATTCAGATTCGATATTTTGTCTTTTTCCGAATTGAAACAATTTTTCCATGTTTACTGCCATAAGTGTAAAAAAGAATTTATTTAAGCATGCTAATTGAAAAAACCGTACGCACATAAAGAAAAGAAATGATTTGATTGGTCAATAATAAGTAAAACATCAACATATACAAACGCATAAATAGTAGCCTTAAATATTTCCCGTATGAAGAGTTTACTACCACAGCCGCGCGTTCATTTGCGTATAGTGTTAGGAAAAGTTGAACGTCGCTGAGTTAAAGGCTTTCTTTTATACGCAACCCTTTTGTCTGGTGAACCTGTTGCGTACTTTCGCGTTCTTCGAATTTAATTAATATATTTAATTAATAATCAGCTTTGATTCATTGAATTATAATATAAAAATTAAAATTTTAAGCACTGTGTTTAATTTTTTTCATTCACATTGAATAAAAATTAAAAAAAAATTCATGATTTTTAATAATTAAGTAACATGGCAAACAAAGGTGAAATTATTGAAGAAGGTGGCTTTTCCTATTATGCTGAAAAAATCAACGGAAATACTAAGTAAGTGCTGCTAATTTTTTTTTTTTTGTGATTGATAATATAAGATAATTAATGTATTTAAATAATATATAATAATTTATGATAGTGAATGAGACAGATACAGAAGATTCTTGTGGTTAAAAAAAATTAAATGAATTGTTAAGAAATTACATATACAAATTTTGTAATTTTTTTACATGTAGATTTTTTATTTTTAAGTTATTCGCATTTTAATTGTTTTTTTTTTTTAAATATTAGAACTAAACAATGTTTGCTATATTCAAAGTTATTAATAATGTGATGGCTGATAATTTTGCGGATATTAATTAATTTTTTAAAAAGAAAAAAAAATTTTGATAAAATAATTCTTGGAAAAAAAAAAAAAAAAAAATAATATTTTGAAAATTACACAAAAAATATACATGCACATTTTTCTGAAATTACTTATTTTCAATTATTTATTCATTTATTTCCGATTCTGAGAAATTAATGTATGTTTGATAAATTGTTAGAGTCGGAATAATTAGTACATTTAAATAAATAGATCTTTTTAATCATAAAAATTTATTACTGCTTGAAAATTTAAAAATTAAATTATGTTCTTATGTTTTTAAGTATTGTTGATTTATTACTTTCAAATTGTGACCAAAATTAACATAATATTATAATTATATGATTTTTCGCTTATTGTAGTAAATGCTGAGCTTGAAAATTATTATATTTGATAATAACCAATTTACTGTTTGTATATATTTAGATATGTTTGTTGTAAAAAAAGAAAATCCAAAAAGTGTCCTGTGCGGAGTACAAAAACTCTGGATGAACCCATCCAATTCACAGTTAGCTCGCACCGACATGCATTGGATTTTTATAACGATGATGTGAGACGTTTTCGGCGTGAATTAATAGCTGCTGCTGAGAAGAACTTGTATCCCACTAATGAAATTTATGCAACAGTTTCTAAATCGTAAGTATTATTTAAATAAAACATAAAATTCTTATTTGAACATTTTATGTTATATTTCCTACATTGTGATTAAACTTTAAATTACATTTTTCAGGCATCTCGAAGATGTTAGAATTCAATTGCCATATGCGGTTATTAGTACGGTGATGCGTCAACATCAAAAGGAAGCTGTGGACGAGTTACCAGAGTTACCAACTTACAAGGATTTTGCAGAGTTTTTCGAACGTAATGAAAATTTATGTTTCATGCGATATGCTGATAAAAAATACGTTATAGTGTCAAATCTCGAGAATGATGCATTACTCATCGGCGACCCGGAGTTTAGCAAGTCGGGTCAGTGTGATACTATACATATCAGCTCAACAGCGAACATTCTCCCTGATTTTAATGGCACTCGTCTCCTGACTTTTATACTAGGACAAGATGGACATTATGTACGTTTCAACAAATTAATTCATATTTAATTACTTTAAAATAGTATATAAAAAAATAGTAATTTTATTTTAATTTTTTATTGAAAAGGCCTTTCCTGTTGGTATCATTCTATGGACTAAGGTGGCCCGTGATGCATGTACGGAAATTTTGAATCAGGTGAAAGAACGTCTATTTCCAAACGTAAATATCACTAAAATTTACGTAGATTTCGATTTAAAACTTTTTGTGGAGGAAGTTTTCCCAGAAAGTGACGTCCGTGGCACGTTCAATAATTATTGCCATGTAAGTAAAGTTGCTGATGTATTTTTTTAATAATTGATAAAAAAAAGACTGTCAATCTATCTGAAATTAATTTGTTTTTAAATTATTTATTTGCTTTTAATTCACATTTAGAAAATTAAAAAACTATACGCGCTTTCTTTTATAACAATACTTTTTAATTATTTATTCATTCAATTTTAATTCTATTAAATTAGTGGATATTTTTAGATTGATAGTCATAAAAAAATTTATGTGAAACATCAATAAATCAAATAACAAATAATTAAAAATAGAACAATGTTATTCACATTTACAGATATTATTTCACGAGGCCCTAAGCAATAATGATTTACGGCTTAGGATTCCTGAACATGAAGAATTCTTAAAGAAATGTTTTTCTTTAATTCTCTTACCTTCAAATAAGATTAAGGAAGGTTTTGAAGAAATCAGCAACAGTTTATCAGTGGAAACAAAAGCTCAGCTGACAAATTTTATTAATTACTTTAATAGAGTATGGATAGAAGGAGTAACTCCGACATCGATGAGCTTATATGAAAAGGTAGAAAGCTTAAATACTGTCCCCGTATTGTTCAGAACTACTCTTGAAAATTATATGGGCGAAAAACCTTCGCTGTGGAAATTTTGGAGTAAGTGTTTTATTTAAAATAATTATTTATAATTACTCAAATTGTTCTTGTGATGAAAACAATATAGATTTACAAATAGGAATAAATTAAATAACTTTTCAACTTAAATTTTTTAAAAATATTTTTAACAAATCAGATTATCTAAAACTTTTTTTTCTTATTTACATTTTCAGATCTTTTTTTTATACAGTTAATAATTTCACCGTAATTTCGAAATCAAGAATTTCGTAATCATAAAAAATTTTAATCATTTATTACGATTATTATTTTGAAGTCCTGGAAAAAATATAACTTTATTTAAGCTATTTTTATCTGTACGATAAAAAAATGACTTGGTTTTGACACCTTATCATGTCACTGAATCGATCTTACGTGCAATGTCGCAGATAGCCTAACTGGTAAAGATTCGGGCGCGCGACCATATGAACTGGGTTCGAGTCCCGGTCTAGACTGTTCGAAGTATTTTTTTTTATTTTATTGTCCGTGACAGTAGCGTAAAATCACCGTATTTCGACAGTATATTGAGCGTACTGTGTCGGTCATAACATCGTAGATTCACTTGCGTTTGCACCGTATATATTCTGTTAATTCACAGTGAATATCGTTCACAACTGTATCCGATGCAGACTGACAACTCGCTCGGTAACAACGGACTTTATACGGTGAAACGACTGTGAAACGACCGTGAAACAACCGTCAATCGACTGTGCTTTCACCGCGTTGCCGAAACCGCCAGGGAAAACACTACAGTATAACCACTTTAAAATATATTCACGCTCATGCAGTGTTGCCAGACTTTTCAAATGATCAGTTTCTCGTTCGTGATTGGCTGAAATAAGTACATAAACAGCCAAAAGTTTTAGGCTTGTCAATAATGACTATCCGGTATGTGTACCGTACACTCTAGTATAAACTTTTGATGGCTAAAGTCGCGAGGGTACTACCTTAAGCAAAACGCAAATATTTTGTATGCTGTTAATGATGGAATGTTAATAAAAATGTTCGAAAACTATCTGACTATTCAGAGCGAAAGACAGAAATTTTTGGAAATTTATATTATTGTATCAACTAATTTGTTGATTGATTAAAACCACTAAGAAAAAAAAGCTCTAATCCAGATTACAAATTGATCTCACCTCTCATGAAGAGGTTAAAATCCTGCTGATGACCAGTGGACTAAGATGTTAAATATTTAATAAAACCAATTTTATAACAATAATTTAAATGAGCTGAATCTGCTATACGTAATATTGTAAATTATTATTTTGAAATTACACTCATGTATTAATTAAAAAAAAATACCAATAATTTGTCCAACTCTCCATTTCCAAACTTCAAACAACTTAGTCGAGCTTCAATATCTGTTCCAATGTCTGTTAAACTCCAGAAAAAATTTCATTTATTCTTTCTTATTAAATGTGCGGAAAAAAATAAAAATTTTTTAGTATAGAATTTCTATAATTTTTTGTGAGTGTGACGGGATAAAAGCAATAGCATTTCTACGATGTTTTTAATTCTGTCATTTTGGACATCTGAACGATACGTCGATTTACTTATTAAACATTACTCTGATATAACACGATTAATAATTGTATATTCCTCAAAAATAAAAAAGAAAGAAATCAATTTATGCTAAAGGAATCACAAGCTATAATAAATTTACTTCACAATTGAGTGTAAGCAGAGGAATTAAGAAATTTGTAAAAATTACAAATTTTTATAATTACTATTTATTACTTAAATGATAGAAGTTTTGTAAATTAAAATTAATAATTGCAAATTTAAAGAGAATATATTAATTTGGTAAGAAATTTCTGCAAGCGAGAAAAAAGCGCTTTGGCGCCACCTAGCGGTCATTTTTAGAACCAAAGTTTTTTTAGCGTAAATTAAAGCAGTATGTATAACTATAAGTGTTTTATATTAAAAAAAAAGGAAACTCATTTTTAAATGAAAATAATTATTAAACTTAATCAATTTTTTTAATGAAGTAAAAAATATTAGAAAACTTTATAAAATTAAAAAAATTCAAGTTTCAAATATTTTCAAAGAATTTTAAAAATTAAACCTATGTTCTTTTTTAAAGATAATTCAATGATAAATCCGTCTTTAATAATTTATTTTTTCTCGTTCGTACATTTAAACTTTTGCAATCTTATTCGAGGTTTTAAATTAAATGTAAATACACCAAATTAATTTTATGGATATTTTTTATAAGATTTCTGAAATTCTAAAAAATTATCTTCGAATACTAGTTACACCTCCGAATTATGACTATAAAAAAATATACCAAAATTATTTCATTAAAATAAATCTGATATTACTGTGATGAAAATCCAGTTGATTTATTATACAAGAAATTAATTTCAATACTATCAAGAAATAAAAGTTCAATTTTCATTTCAAGAACAGAAGAGTGAGTTATTAAAAATATATCTTTAGGAAATTTCAATCACGGAAACAATAGATATAAACTGACAAAAAATAAATTAATTTCACAGCATTAGTGTTAAAATTGATTAAATTTTCTTTGAATGACCAAAATTAAATTTTGTTTAGAATCCTACTTAATTGATATGAGTTTAAATAATTAATTGAACTCATTGATTTAAGAGTCATTTAAAATTACCAACTTGGAAAATGTGTTTGTTTTTTTTTTCTTCTACAGAAGAATCAAAATCAAAGGAAGAAAAAAAGTTTTTGATAAATTCTGGTTAAAAATCGAATTACATCACTCAATCTATTCTAATAATTTTAAAATATGTCTTAGTTTTTATAACAAGTTGTAACAGTTGGCGAATGTACGATTCCGACGAACTATAATTCCCGATGCGCCAGCAATGATTGGAAAAACGTATAAGGTAATTATTTACTCGCTCAAGTCATTAAGATATTGCCTAAGACAAAATATAGCAAAACTACAACCGAAATGTAATAAGTTGATGCATCGAGCAAAGGAAAAATCTGTTACGACGTCAAGACATCATTAAAAAAAACACCAAGACTTTTGTAAAGTCTAAAGAACTTAAAAAAATTTATTAATCATTAAAAGTTTTTCTTTTAATACCTCAAAAAATACTAATTATCGATCTTAATAAATTTTTATTGAAGTTATCGACACCAAAAAGAAATAATTATAAATAGTCGTAAATTTAGTGACTTTAAAAGAAAAGCTACACAAAAAATTTAGATAATATAACTTTCATTTTTTAATTGAAAAGTTAAACAATTTGTGATTAATTTTTTTAAGAAAAAAATTATGAAAGTTTTAAAAAAAATTGCTACGTCAATAAATTTTTGAATGGAATATAAAAGCTTGGTCAAAAGTTTCTACGAGCGAGGAGAAAAGCGCCACTGCGCTGCCTAGTGGTCATTTTTAGAACTAAAATTATTAAAGTCGTAAATTGATAGTCTTAACATAAAATTAAGATAAAATATATGTGAAATCAATTTATTCGTGATGTGATGGGTAGAATACGAATTCTATGATCAGGCACGCGCGAGCGCATATTAATTTCTAATTGTATAGACATAAAGTACATTCTAATATTTTGATTCAACAAGAGAGGTCAAAAAATTTCGTTTGTTTTTTATTTACAAAAGGAAGTTTTTAAGAAAAACAGTGATTCTATTGATGACGGATGTAATCTCCGTTAAAAGCATGATCACACAGAGATCAAAGTCATGGAAATGATACTAATGCTTATTATTAGTTATTGAGTGTATAAATGTTGATCACAAGCAACGTATATCATATTGAATATAATTCATTATTATATTTATAAAATATTCGTAAACTTTTGGTATTTCTTGTCACAAAATTGTTTTGTTGTCAATTTACAATATTTTTAAATTCAGTGACATAAATTTAGTCACTTCAAATATTTGGGATTACAAAATTTATTTTATTAATAAAAATTAGGAACAAAAGTATTCTAAATCAGATGCTAACTAAAATCCACTAAAATCATTTATATTTCTCTTAATCAAATAAACTAAGGATTCAAATGAAATTTTTCGAAATTTGAAAAAATTGTCCTTATAATTTATAGCATGAAACCGAATTCCTGAAAACGATAATCAAAAAAATGTATTCATCTCTCGATTATTCAAATTCTAAACAATTTAAAAAACACGACGTCTTTAAACGATATTGTGCACTTCAAAAGGACAGCATTATTATTTTCGAAATTTAATTAAGTAACTTAATTTAATAAGTAAATTTCTCTCTCTCTCTTTTTGAAATTACACTCATGTATTAATTAAAAAAAAATACCAATAATTTGTCCAACTCTCCATTTCCAAACTTCAAACAACTTAGTCGAGCTTCAATATCTGTTCCAATGTCTGTTAAACTCCAGAAAAAATTTCATTTATTCTTTCTTATTAAATGTGCGGAAAAAAATAAAAATTTTTTAGTATAGAATTTCTATAATTTTTTGTGAGTGTGACGGGATAAAAGCAATAGCATTTCTACGATGTTTTTAATTCTGTCATTTTGGACATCTGAACGATACGTCGATTTACTTATTAAACATTACTCTGATATAACACGATTAATAATTGTATATTCCTCAAAAATAAAAAAGAAAGAAATCAATTTATGCTAAAGGAATCACAAGCTATAATAAATTTACTTCACAATTGAGTGTAAGCAGAGGAATTAAGAAATTTGTAAAAATTACAAATTTTTATAATTACTATTTATTACTTAAATGATAGAAGTTTTGTAAATTAAAATTAATAATTGCAAATTTAAAGAGAATATATTAATTTGGTAAGAAATTTCTGCAAGCGAGAAAAAAGCGCTTTGGCGCCACCTAGCGGTCATTTTTAGAACCAAAGTTTTTTTAGCGTAAATTAAAGCAGTATGTATAACTATAAGTGTTTTATATTAAAAAAAAAGGAAACTCATTTTTAAATGAAAATAATTATTAAACTTAATCAATTTTTTTAATGAAGTAAAAAATATTAGAAAACTTTATAAAATTAAAAAAATTCAAGTTTCAAATATTTTCAAAGAATTTTAAAAATTAAACCTATGTTCTTTTTTAAAGATAATTCAATGATAAATCCGTCTTTAATAATTTATTTTTTCTCGTTCGTACATTTAAACTTTTGCAATCTTATTCGAGGTTTTAAATTAAATGTAAATACACCAAATTAATTTTATGGATATTTTTTATAAGATTTCTGAAATTCTAAAAAATTATCTTCGAATACTAGTTACACCTCCGAATTATGACTATAAAAAAATATACCAAAATTATTTCATTAAAATAAATCTGATATTACTGTGATGAAAATCCAGTTGATTTATTATACAAGAAATTAATTTCAATACTATCAAGAAATAAAAGTTCAATTTTCATTTCAAGAACAGAAGAGTGAGTTATTAAAAATATATCTTTAGGAAATTTCAATCACGGAAACAATAGATATAAACTGACAAAAAATAAATTAATTTCACAGCATTAGTGTTAAAATTGATTAAATTTTCTTTGAATGACCAAAATTAAATTTTGTTTAGAATCCTACTTAATTGATATGAGTTTAAATAATTAATTGAACTCATTGATTTAAGAGTCATTTAAAATTACCAACTTGGAAAATGTGTTTGTTTTTTTTTTTCTTCTACAGAAGAATCAAAATCAAAGGAAGAAAAAAAGTTTTTGATAAATTCTGGTTAAAAATCGAATTACATCACTCAATCTATTCTAATAATTTTAAAATATGTCTTAGTTTTTATAACAAGTTGTAACAGTTGGCGAATGTACGATTCCGACGAACTATAATTCCCGATGCGCCAGCAATGATTGGAAAAACGTATAAGGTAATTATTTACTCGCTCAAGTCATTAAGATATTGCCTAAGACAAAATATAGCAAAACTACAACCGAAATGTAATAAGTTGATGCATCGAGCAAAGGAAAAATCTGTTACGACGTCAAGACATCATTAAAAAAAACACCAAGACTTTTGTAAAGTCTAAAGAACTTAAAAAAATTTATTAATCATTAAAAGTTTTTCTTTTAATACCTCAAAAAATACTAATTATCGATCTTAATAAATTTTTATTGAAGTTATCGAC